GCCCGATCCACCTGTTGAAATAACCCTTCATATATAGAACACGCTGAAGCATCGTTTCGAGTTGCTGGTCTTTGAAGAAACGACACTGTCTTTGCTCAAGTAATTCTCTAGTCATAAGAATTTTGGTAACTGCACCACCAGAAAACTATATGTACGGGCAGGGTTGCTTTCTGGAGCTTGTAGGTTATCTGAAACCGTTCAACGTCATTCCAACGCCCCCACCACACCTTTACTAGGCGTGTTCATCTAAAGTCTGACGGCTAGATAGATTGGTCTAACAGAAGAGAGCACTGCTCAGGGTAGACTAATCCTTTGTGGGTAAGAGTCTATTATAGGGCTCACCAAGGAAACCACCCCCTCCCATAATTCTCTAATGCGGGACCGGTGGTATTGAGGACTACACGGGGACGCAGGAGAGAAAATAAAAAATCAAAGAAAAACAGGGAATTTTAGATAAAATCACTATAAAGGCCAATATGTAGCAACAAAAAACGTACGATAATTTAAAAATTAATTAAATTAAATAACGATTTAAAATTAAAACTTGATTACGATTTCCACTGCTCATGGATTACAGAACTCTGGGAGTCTTGGTTTCCGTGGTTGGCCCTATAATAGACTGTTACCTTTTTTAGATCCAGAAACTGAAATCAAGATTTAGCTTGCGTGCAAAGTGATTTTAAAAGCATGACACATAAAAAATGAACGCTGTTTTTTTTATTCCCATCACCCACAAGTAATGCAGCACACGGGCAAGGGATTAAAAAAAACGGAGCAAAAGGTAATCTACCTTTCAATTTCCGTGCCTTCTTTCGGTCGTCGACGAGGGTAGGTACTGCCTCCCCGGCCCCAATAACAATGTTTGGACTGTAGACAATCTGGTAGAGGACAGTAGCCACATTGTTGGTGGGCTGTTTATCAGCAGCAACGGAGGAGACATTGGCGCGAATACCCGGCGAAGGCAGGTTACCCCGGGCTGTGACTGCCTGGGAGGACAGTTGATCCTGAACTCGCTGAATTCCACTCAGAAAGAGACCCACCTCCAGCAGGATCTCCTCGTCGGGGTAAAGCCAGGTGTCGGGTTTGGCGGTGATCAGAGCAGCTGCCTCGTTGCCGGACA